TTGTAAATTGAAGACCTAACAGACAACCCACAAAATAATAAGAATGCTTGTTTGTTGATCACAAAAATCAAAGCATTTGACTCACAGCCACTTGGTATCTTGTGTTTCCAGTGTAGATTTCTTTGCCGCCAACAATACATGGAATTTCCACAGTTTCATTTTGAACTCTCTCAATTTCTGCTTTTAATTCCTTCAGGTCAACACTGTTTCTGTCCAGATTAGTGGGTGGTTCATTGGGAGGCAAAGCAATGCTTCTGGTGCCAAGGATTCTGAACAAATAATAATTTTCACAAAAAATTATACCCCACAATTACATTAAACTACCTCAATTCTGATTATTTTTGACCTCTGTTCCCTCTAAATGAAACCTAAGAGATAATGGACAGTCTAAGGTCACGTCCACATTACATTGGAGAAATTTGAAAATGCTCTTCAAACTGGAGGAATTAGATGCATTTGATGCATCTCCAGAGGGAAAACACTGTTTTCAAATTTCTCTGGCGTAGTGCAGATGGGGCACTCAGAACTTCTAGTGGACACCGATTACTTTTTTTAATATGTAAACAGAAAGTCACCTTTTATTTAGTCACTAGTTAACTGATGAGTACATCAGTTCAAGGGTGTTCTAAATAACAATAATTATTACCTTATAAATGTGCTTGAGATTCTATCATGCATAGAAATAAAGAGCAAACAATCTAGTAATTGTTTTAGTATAATTCTGCTATTCATTCAAAACGTTTGCCTAAATCCTCTTCATATACACTTAGCTGCCATTTATTAACAATTCCAAACTGCTAGGCTACTTGCTATGTTCAACTGAATTCAATAGATAGAGAAATTTTTATTTTGAAATTACAAAATAGTAATTATGCAGTTCCATAATATTATTTATCCATGTAACAACATAATAATCATTTTCAATTATTGTGTTCAAGGTCTGTTTATAAGTGGCATGATTTCTTCAAAGTTGAACTTACATTGACCACAAAATATACAGAAAAAAAGACCTGTATGAACATACAGCAACCACGTCATGTATGCCTGATAAATTATTCAATGTCTACAATCAATTCAGCACAGTGGCCATTTCCACCCAAACAAACAAGGAAAAATTAAAAAAAAAACAGCAACAAAAAAACAGTTACCAATATTTCAATACAATTTTTAATCAACTTTGTTAAAGCAATTTCGTTGGCCTTCAACCAGCAAAAAAAAGTTCCGGAAGAAATGTTATTACCTATCCGAAATAAAATACCAGATAATGGAGACAAGTTGCCAAATTGGGAAGCTTCCAAAACTTTTTTTACCAGCTGTATCTCGTGATCAAAAGGGCGGAATGAAGAATATTTTACGCCGCCAAAGACTTTCTCGATATAACGAGCCCAACAAAAAATTGGAGGGCTGTAAAAGATGGTACAAGCTCGGTACGAAAGTTTGTTACTGTTGGCATGTCTGAAGGCAGCGAACAGTCTACCTCAAAGGTAAGCTTGGTTATGTTTACAAGCTGGCAACCGGCACAAGAGTTTTGCATCTTTTTCAGTACAATCAAAAAACTGCTCAAAAGGGCTATATGAAGTTGAAAACCTTGGCTATATCATTCACATATCTATTGTATTTGAATCAATCGATGATATTGCGTAAGTTCGTTCAATCTCAAACATGAACTGACAACATGTTTACAGTTCGCGGGCAAACTTATGACACAAAAAATTGCGCTCGGAATAAATGTAGTGGATGAAACCATACCTCAGAGCTTGACTCCTGAAAACTGCTCGTGCTGCCAACATGATCGAAAAAGCTTTTACAGAGAAGAAAATTTCCGGAAACTACACGAGTATTTCACGTAATGCAGAAAGTCTGCTGAAAGCAAAGAAATCTGCATCACGCGTTTCTCCAAATATGGCACGAGTTGGGGGTGTGTGCTCATGTATCAACCAATCAGCGTCAAGATTGCTCAAAATTACAAGCCCGCAATTTTGAAAAGAACTAGCAGCGGTTCAATTTCAAAATGGCGGAAGCAGACGAAAGTGAAGGCATCGATTACTACGCAGTTTTGAACGTCCGAAAAGAGGTGAATACAGTCTTCTTCAAATAAGTGAAGCTATAAATGTGTTGTTCTTGTAATTGGATGCAACAAAATTGTATTTCAGGCTAATGAAAATGAAATAAAAGCAGCCTACAGGCGCATGTGCGTGTTGTACCATCCAGATAAACACCATGATCCAGCCAAGAAGAAAGTGAGTAAGCTTTAAAACTGCTATTTACAGGAATCTTTTTTATGTTGGATTGTGTTATTGAAGTACATGAAATTTTTTTAAAGAACTATTTCCTCTGCATAAGCCAAATGTTATTGCAACAACAACAAAATAAAGTAATTAATAAAATATTTTGCCCAGTAAACTGAATGATGTAATCATATGAATAACAAAATTCCCGTGTCTGATTGGTTGGTATCTTTGAGGAGCGTGCAATATTGCCATGCCGGATTTCTTGGTGCACTTTAAATGAGTTATTCTAACCGTGTTTGATCAGCTAGTGGTAAAACAACAGAAATAATTATGCTACTGACTCTATTGGAATATACAGTAGTATTGATAGATGATATTCATGCTGCATGATGAGTCATTATTCTGAACAAATTATAATTGCTAACTAAAGCCCTCACACTGTCTTGAAACAGTCAAAAGTAACTTTGTTTATCATCTTACAAACTTGTGTTTACCATCTGGAAATTTCTTTTCCAGAGCCAGTATTTCCTAGACTTGATTTCCAGCTGTTTTGGGGGTCTGCTTGTGATCCTCCACTACACCTAGTGGTGTGAGCTCACAAAATGGCTGGAAATATGAGCCTAGTAAAATCAAGAAAAAATAAATGAGAAATTTATTGACTGCCATTTGTCCACAGATTGCTGTAGAGCTGTTTAGTAAAATTCAAAAGGCCCATGAAGGTAAATTTGTGTCTAATATGTCAAATACATGACTTTGTGTAATTGTGTCACCACAGGCTTTTAGCCAGGATTTGAAAAGTGGGCATCCAAAATGTGCTATAGGACCTGCTCAAATGAATAATTTATAACTCAGGGAACATATAAAAAATAACACAATTTTCTTTAATAAGTGGCCATCCACAGGATGCCTGGACACCCATCTGGCTAGAAGCCTGTGTCAACAGGAGTTTAAACTGAAAAAAGAGTGGAACTGAAAAAAAGTGGAATGCATTAAGTGGCCCATACTACCGTTAGAGGTTAATGAACTTCTGGTAAAACTTGAACTACTAGGAGTAAAGGTGGCTGAACAGTACACAATAGCTAATTCCCCCTTTGAGACATACCTGCAAGGAATCATGGTAGTCCACTATTCATCAAAATAAATATCCCATCCAAGATGATAAGCACAAATAACATGATGTCCCTGCAGGCACATTTTAAAGAGGGAATTGGGCATTTTATAAATGGCAAGCAGTGAAACTCAAGACAATAATATTTTAATTTTTGAGTTCGTGGCTGTTTTATATTTTTTATTAAAAAAAAGGAATTGGTAATGATGAAGTGACATTTTTAAAAATGTTTAGTCCTTAGTAATCCAGAAAAAAGAGGAATTTATGATGTATATGGCCAGAAAGGATTGGATGCAGGTTGGGAGGTAAGCATGCATAACACAGCTGTACTGACGAAAAATTAGCTGACAGCTATGTTGTCGCAATCAGATTTTGCATCGAAACTCTCCTAATATGTCGTCACACAATGTTGTCCCAACAGAGCTGCTTTTGAATGATTTCTTGATGATAACCTAATGTAAGTTTACATGTCACAAGTCAAGGACTTCTGGACACATACTGTGGCATAAATCAGGGATATGTTTTGTCTAGAATTTGAGGCATGCTCTGTCAAATGAGTATAACTATTTACATACTTTTTAGTATTTTGCTTTTTATTTAATGATATGTTTTATATCTTTCCAGTATTGTCAGAAAACATTTAAATATCTAATGAGTCTTCTTGGCTTTTATTGTAGATTATTGAAAGACAAAGAACACCAGCTGAAGTAAGTTTTAGTCAGAGTGATTGGTGTTTAATTTCTGCCAGTATGTGTTGTGCTACAGACAAGATGGTCTAATAAAATAAATTTTATGTACATGTGTGTACCAACCCTGCATAATTAAAAAATTAAAGTTAAAAAACGGTTTATTAAAAATTGCTTTCCACAAGAAAATCTTTAAACACTGTACACACTGGATAGCAAGTGATAGAGTCAATAGACTATACCATTATGCACCCTTTCAGTGTCAAGCTTACAGCCTGACTATGAATAGCATTTTGTGTGAATTGTGAAATGTTTTTTTTAGATTCGTGAAGAATATGAGAGGCTACAAAGAGAAAAAGAGGAGCGGCGTTTACAACAAATCACAAATCCAACAGTAAGGCTGAACTGAAAAGTGCCTATTGCCTGAGATTAGTTTTAGTATTAATTAAAATAAATTATCATTAATTAAGATAAATTATAATTAATTAATTTAAATTATTATGAATTAAAATAAATCATGCATTCAAGTAAAAATAATTATTTTTTACTTGCATAATTTATTTTACATTCCTTCGTGGTTTTCTTAAAAAAGCAGTCACAGGTTATTTATCAGAAAGTTTGTCAACATGTATTCATTTCTTGTGATTATTTAGGGCAGTATATCCGTTGGAGTGGATGCTACTGATTTGTTTGATCATTATGAAGATTCTTTTGATGAAAGGTAAGTGTTTTAATTTAATTAGAAGTTACAGAAGATTGTCGCACAGAACCAAAACTAGTGAAGAATTTGTATGTGTAAGAGTAACTGTAATTTTAGTAGTAATTTTATTAATATTTTTTATTTTTGTTTCATTGTAATATTGTTTAACCTTGAATTTCAGAGTTTTGCCAAATAT